CACCAACATTATTCGGTGATGTCAGTTCTAGTTTTATTGTATATTCCCGAGCTTTCATACGAAGGGCTTCAATACTACTTGTTCTTCGAGTTTCTTCTACTTCAATTGCCGTGAAACTCGTTGGTTTTTCATGTAAGATTTGTGTTGTTCAATCGTGCGGCAATTAATATGGTGAATGTATCGAATGATAACCTAATACAAAAAGACGAACAAAAAACAGTTTCGAACTCCAACAGTCAGTCAAGAAACTTCAGTCAAACAATTTTAATTGGCAAAGTTGTTTTTCTAAGCCGTTTAATTTTCCTTGAAACAGATATTTTGAGATGCTGAGTATCGAACTGAACTAAAAACAATCGTGTTAAATCAGAAAACTCGAATGATCACACGACATGTCAAATGAGTATATACATCATAAATAAAAGATCACTTGAGTATTGATGTTCATATCCTTGTTTTCTACTTATTTTCTCTAAAAGCTAATTTGACAAGAAGAGAAAAGAATCACTTTGTAAATATTTTACATTACTTCTTTAAATGTTTATATACAGTACTATAGACTATGGGATTTTTAACAGGTTAATCATCAGATGGTTGAGAAGTGTAAGAAGAAAATTCTCAGATTATTAAGTCATTTGTCTAATATTGACAAAATATGTATTAAAAAATCATCTTTCATTGTCAACATATTCATGTAACACTAATCATTCATAATAGAAGAAAGAAAGAATAGTTTAATACAAATACAAATGGAATTTTTGAAGATTATCCATCATATCTATTAAATGTCAATCGTCTCTATGGTCGGAAGAAAACAAAATATCTAATAGAATTGATAATTATAGTATATAATCAGGATACTTCTTGAGTTGCTTAAATATTAGTGTGTGGCTGTTTGATTTTTTTGTTTTTGTAAAAAAGTATTTCGTAACATAAATTTATCTAATATGAATAAAGTTTTCGTCGTAAAGTAGCATAGAGAAGATGAAAAGTAGAGAATTCGAATAGATGTTGTTCACAATTACGTTTATTTTAATTTTGAAATTGAGGGGGATCATATAAAAGAGTAATATTTTGTTTTCTGAGATTCGTTCGAAAAGTTTGGATGTGTTTTTAAAAGATGTACAATGAAAATGATGATTTTTTTCCGTTCTCAATCACAAAAGTTTATTAGATCGATGTATATTTTTCGTTCTGTTTAAAACTAAATAACGGAAAAAACTTGATTCTCATTATATGTCTAGAAATTAGAATCTATTGAACCATCAGCTAATACAGAAATTCGGAAGGCTTTTTTTTCATCCTTTCATTTAAATTTAGTGTCTGATAGGTGAGTTAACATGAAAATATTGTACTTTGTCGAGAAACTCGAACACCTACTATAGGACTAGAGAGAAGTATATTTAGAATAGAAAAAAGGAGGTATCAGATGCGAATATATGTTTTTCTATCATCATATATATCCCAAAAAATACATGTAGACATTTTTTCTCTCAATCTAGTTCTTATTCTATCGTATGGGAAAAATTACAGGAGCGCTGTTGTATAACAATAACAATATAATGTTTTACTAATAAATAATTCATCGAATATTCTTTTGTCTTTGTTTTAAAAAAACCAGACAAATTAAGTTATCGATCAATCTAGATGGTCAAAACGAGAGGAAAACACAAGATTTTATCGAATGAACACATTCCTTTATTTAATAAAAATAATATTACTTGTTGGTGAACTTTTAACTCAGGTATCAACTTCCATTGACAATCATTCGTTATCTACATCTTTATCGTCTCGTATCGCATACGGTGTCAAATTTAAAAATGATACATGTGATGATATTGTTCAAACTAATAGAACGTTGACTACAACTCAAATACCGCTAACAACTTCCTTATCATCAATTGTAAATAATTTAAAACGAATTATTAATAGCTACAACGATTATCATAACGACATGAAAACAACAACGGATGTAGAAGAAGAAATAATAACAACATTAAAAGATATATTTGAAAATGAGGAAGGATTTCTGTTAGTAGATCGAGATAGACGAGATCTTTTTGTTGATCAAGACTATGATGCAAGTGGAGATTTTGAACCAACATCAAATATCTATCAAAATAGCACTCTTTATACATTAGAGGTATGTACACTGAAGAATATCTTAATCCATTTCCTCTGCATATCGTCATTTTCATGATTGTTTTCAGAAAAATTCTTTCATTTTTATGTGTAAAGCGAGATTTTCCAGTATTTTGAGTAAAACGTCAATTGTGAAGAGAACAAAAAAAATAATAAGGTACAAATAAAATATTTCACTCTCTACATTGAAAGTCTCTTAGTTTATAAGAATTTAGGGCCAGATACGTGTAAGATATTGACGTTTAATATCAAATACTTACAGAATTCTTTCTTTCTATTGATGTAAAATATCAATATCATATACTTAATACCTATATGAATGAGCAGAGTAGCAAAGGTACGAAACGTTGAGTTTTCAAAAGAATAACTGTTTCGTTTTGAATAAGTCTTTGCCATTTGAAAGTTAAGTATAACTATGCACTAAATTGTTTATTGAACTTTTTTCAGAATTTGGTAATTTTAATTGTTTTATGCTCTTTTAGCTAATTTCTTGTGTGATTTTTTTCACTATAATTATCTTCGGACTCCTACTGTGAAACATCCGATGAGTTCCAAAACGTCATATTAGATGTTTTCATCAATGCTAGGTTGTTGTTGTGATTCGCCTTTCCTTTATTCTGTTTTTACCATACACAAAAACAATATGTTAAATTGTTTTTATGAAAAATTATCTTTCATTGTCAACATATTCATGGAACATTAATCACTCATAACAAAAGAAAAATAGAATAGTTTAATACAAATGGAATTTTGAAGATTATCCATCATATCTATTAAATGTCAATCGTCTATATGATTAGAAGAGGACAAAATATCTAATAGAACTGTTAATTATAGTATATAAACAGGGTAGAAATGCTGTTGAGTCTACTTTTTAATTACTTATAACTGAGGACAGTCGTATCCGAATAACAATTAAAATGTAATTTAGACTGCAAATGTTGTATATCGGTTAGAAACAAAAAAATAGACAAATAATAATACACTATGTTCTTAACCTATACCATGGAATATTGTATGACTTTATAAACTCACTCTGAATCATTTGTAGAGCCTATAGTTATATTTTCATATTTGTTCCATATGGTGTATTGTTGTATAGTACAGTTGACATTTATTGTAGAGAAAAATATTTGATGATTTTGATCTCAATTTTGAAATGGTTCATTGTTCTTCATTTTTAAACAAGGACATTTTTGCATCATATGTAGTTGTTTATTTACATTCTACAGATAAATATTCATAAATATAAACAATAGGAAAAAATAACAATGCCTTTGTAGTTGATATCACGCAAGGGAAAATATTGATTATAATCAATGAATATGATTATTCTAGATATTATAACATTTCTATTGTTAAGTTTTTTTCTGCTTCTTTCTGTTTTATATGTAGCAATTGAGTTTTTTTCTACATTTCATTTATTGTATAATATAATAATTCATGAAGAAAAGTTATATCTCTATACAAATTATCATATACAAAATAATTTGATTCTTTTTTTTTAAAAGTTATTTGATATCTGTAAGATAGTTTATTCACTATACGTCTTAATTTGTTTTGTAGATTTTTTAAGACATTTGATTTTGCATGCGTGAAACAATTATATTGCAATACGGTCTGTTAATATCAGATGCGTTTATTTAAACTTCTCGTTCTAATATTTATATCTAAGGTAAGAACATTTTTTTTCTTGTTTTAGCAAAAAGAACCCTTCACAAAGAATTAAGCATGCTGAAACTGATTTAATCTTAAAATCAAATGAAAAATTGACCTTGGTCACAAAAAAGACTATAAACAACAATAATGTTAATAAATTCGATTATGCGTTATAGAGTACACCTATATATCGTTTCGTTTGGATTTATTTAAAGTTTTCTGAAGATTGACATTTGTGTTCAACACATAGTTTAATATTGCAGAGAAATTGTGATATTGAAAAAGAAAGATACAAGAACATGAAAGAATGTAGTATCTCTGCTGTGTTTAAGTAAAGATTTATTCTATGTTGCGTCTCATTCAAGTGAGAGTATTTTAAATGAAAGAGTAATAAATTCTATGGGTGACTTCTAATCACTAGATGTTCACTAAATCATATGAAACAAACGTTTGACATGATAGATCTTGTAGTAAATATTCAAAATTATTATCTAGATGTGTACAGACTAGAGCAGGACCAAGATAAGAGGTTGACAGGACTGACCAAGTACTATAAAAAAATTTCATAGGACAGAACTAAATACCAGCCACTGTGTACATTTCCTGTCATGTTTGTTATATAAACTGTAAATGTTATTCCATATCTTGTATAAAGGGATAGATATACAATAAACATATGACCAAGTATATGGATATTATACAGAATTGTTTATGGATACCTTAGGGGTTAGAATAACACATCAAGAATAAATTTTTACATCTCTTACCGATTCGATAGCTAAGGTCATCAAAGAGGGACAAAACGTTGGTACATTGAACTAGCGTAGAAACATTTTGTATTTTGCATGTGTATGTTTGAATATATATCGAACTGCTGCTAAAAAAAACATACTTTAAGACATCTATGTACCAAATTTTCTCTTGAAAAAAGAAAATCAGAAAATTTTTGACTATTCTTAGCAAAACCTTGTCGTCATTTATTACAAACTTTAACCAGTGTGATGTATTTGACTGTTTCAACGCCAATTGATACCTTGATTATTCTGCACTATCAACATAACTGAAACACTTAAATAAGTTTTCAACCTTTTAATCAATTTTTTATCAGGTCGGCATCTATCTCAAAGTTTTCATTATTATCAAAACATATTTTAGGGATCCACAATTACAACTGCACCTAGCACTGTGAGTAGCGCTAGACATCTGATATAGCTTTTGATGTCTATGGTATGTTCTTCTATTATTCTTTTCAGTATTCTTCACAATGTCCATGCGAAAAGGTATGTAAAAGATCAGCTGGAAACAGACATAAAAACAGATTATTTTTATTTGTTAGGGGGAAAAGGGTGAACGAGGTGAAAGAGGCGAACCGGGAGTATGTCCAGATTGTTCAACGTTTCCGAATCAGATACCGGTGAGTAGTACAACAAAAAATATTCTTGAAAAAACCTATTATTTCGCGTATGTTTAGAAAGAATGTTCCACACAAAGAATAAATTTAGATCGTTTAACACAAGCCATCCGACAACTGATAGATCAGTCGAAAGTAAAAAGGAAACAATGAAGCTCTATAGTTAAATACGTTACATAACTTTTACTTTAGCGAATCGCTCACAGAAATGCTCAACAGTCAAAATGTGCTTGTCCTCTCAGTTCATCTCAGTCATCGGTAGGTAGATCTTTTTCTTCTTTTTCTTCAAAAATCAATAATAGAAAAGTTTCTTGTCAAATAACCTTGAAAGATGTACAGAAGTATCCAAATGTCATGGTCAAGTTGATGTTTTAAATATGTATATGTAAAAGAGAAGCCACTATTATAGTTTTCGAATTTTTATAACTTAGAGTACCAACATCAGAACATTTAGAACAGTCCAAGAAGCCATGGAAAATTCATTTACTTATCCCGATCATACGTACGTTCACATTGTTAATCAATTTGGTCATTTAGACGGTGTATTCATTCGTATCAGCGGAAATCTAATACCGATTAGCTTAGATTCAAAGGTAAAATAAAGAAAATAAGACTTTTTCATTCCTACTCGAGAAACTTTATACGATATCTGGTATTAAAAAGCATGTAAAAACGCTTTATTTAGAATTTTATTCCTATGCAGAGTTTTACAAGACCTATACAAAGTTTTACAAGACCTGTACAGAGTTTTACAAGACCTGTACAGAGTTTTACAATACCTGTACAGAGTATTACAAGACCTATACAGAGTTTTACAAGACCTGTACAGAGTTTTACAAGACCTGTACAGAGTATTACAAGTCCTGTAACAACATTACCCATTCCAAAAACGGTCAGTCTGTAGTAAAAATTAACTCAGAGACTTTCAGACTATATTGATCTACTTATTTGTTTCTAGAAATGTAGTGATCCACTTCCATGTTCTGAAGTAAGTGTTCTATATTCAAAAGATTGATTGATAATATTTTTACTCTTCTCGATAGCTTCATTTATTCGCTCTGGGTCCAAATATTCGAAAATTATGTAGTCCGAATCTTTCAAGTTTTTGTACAAAATTATCTGATTTTGATAGTTTATGCAGTAAAGTTAGCGAACAACAGAAATTACCGGGATTTTATCGCGCATTTATATCCTCATCAACTCAATGGCTATCACATTTATTTGATGGTATTTGTACTTACGCTAAAATTGTTAATATGCAGGTAAGTGAAAAATAATACTTTATAAATGATGCACTATGACTGTTTTATTTTATAACTAAGGGAGAAATATTATTCGAGACGATTGATGACATATTCGATGGAAAACCATCTCTTAGCTACATACTAGATCTGCAAGGATATCAGCCAAAGTAAGAACACTTCTTGCTCTCAGTATAAACCGAAAGAAAATTCGAACGTTGACAAGATAAGATATCCTATTTACTTTTCTTTATTTTAAAGATTTCAATACTTCTGGCATGGTAGTTTAATGAATGGAACAGCATCAAATAATACATGTCTCGATTGGAGTCATCAAGATCAAAATGTATATGGAATAGCTAGCATTCTAGATAAACATTCCTTTGGTTTATTTCAACAACAATTTACTTGGCCATGTTCAACAGATGACTCGAATATTGGAATTTTGTGTATTGAAACAAATTGCGAGAAACACAGTTTTTATGGACATTAACGCCAAGATTTTCTATTCTCTCTTCTATTTTTTTTTCTTTTATTACTTTGTTCTGTGTAAGTTTCTAAAACTAAAATAAGCTCTGACAGCTATTGAAGATATCTTATTTTATACAAAAAGTGTTGGAAAGATATTAATTTTTAAAAAGATAAACAAATAAACGATAGTTGTTTGCTATTAAAATCCTTAAAACATTTATCGAATTCTACTATTTGGTGACAAAAATTGCTGATGTTGTAAAGGATTATGAAGAAATGTCTGTGCTGGGTGTGGATGTCTCATCATATTGGGAACATATTTTACCGGTCTCAGACCATGTTTTATCCACGGATTAAATCCGTTCGTCGTTCTATTTATATCGCAAAATGATAAATGTCTATGTGGCGATTGTAAATTAAAATTTGGTCCATAATCTAAATAATCAACATTTTTTGTACTGTTTGATAATATTGATGACGATGACTCAGATTGATGATGTAATTGATGCGGTTGAGATTGATGTCTCGATAATTTACCGGTTTTTGGACGTGCCTTAAAAACACGTTGCTCAGTCGAATGAGGATAAATAAAAGATTGTTCAATAATTGTTGGTTGCGGTGGTCCAGAAGGACCATACTGTAATAATCGAGATTGAGCTCGATTTGGCCACCCATGTTGTTGTTGCGGTGGAGGCTGATATTGTTTCTTTGTAGGCAAACCGATATTTGTTGGTGGTCGTGCAAGAGGTGGTTTATTTTTATTAATAATGTTTGGTTTGGGTGGTGGTTGATCGAATAATTGTTGAGTTGGAATAAAAAATAGTCCATTTTGATTTATAACAGGTGTAACGGCGTATAAACGACGTTGAATTAAATTATTATCCGTTGTCATGTGAGCAGGTAAATGCGTAGATGGTCTACGACCTGGAGTATTTGGCGATTTTAAGTGGGAAAAAGGCGTCATGTTTGCTTGACGAGTGACTTTCGTCACATTTGATATATCACTTAATGTGTCATTATCACGCGCTTTAAATCTCTACACAAACATTAAAATGAAAAAGAAAGATGTCAGATATATTTTTTTATATAAAGTTCAATGAACTCACCCATTGAATATTACTATCAGGTACAAAAGCCGGTGTTGGTATTCGTTTATAATTATTCTCATCATTTAAAATTTTTTTTTGATAAGATGACGGTTGCTGCTGGTGTGAATAATGTGGTCTTTGATTATGTTCTACATAACTCCTCCTATTATCGTTATATAAACTAGGTTCGCGTGTTACCGGATGAAAACCTTTGTTTTCCCATGGGAACGGTGTATATGATGTAGGAAAAAAACCTGCTAATGGTGTTTGAGGTGGAGGATAGAGTCCGTTTTTTGTTTGATTAATATGTTTTGAATAATTATTAATGAATGAGAAATGTGACCGCGAAGGTACATTCTGTTTTTTCACGCTACTTGCATTATAAAAAGGATTTTCTTTATGAAATGTCCATGATTTATGATTTGATTTGTCTCTTTTTGATGTTTTTGATTTTGATAACGAGCGATGTTTTCTTTTCACACGTATACTATCCGTTGATGCTGAAGAATATCGATATGTGCCTCGTTTAGAATTTTTATTGTGATGATGGCGATGATGGTGATGATGATGATGATGATGATGATGACTCTTCTGTTTTTTGTCAAAACTCTTAGAAGGATTCAATTCTTGACTATGTGTTCTTATATCTGTATAAGATTTAGAATATTGTCGACGTTCATCTGAATAGGAGCGTGCTCTATGAGGTAGTTTTTCTCGACTTATTGTTGATGGTGACCTATCATGCTTTTTCTCCGTTCGAGTTTGTTGTGGTTGAGGATAAGTTTTTGGTTCTTCACCCGGCTCTTCAACAACTACCACCCTTCAACAATAAATTTGATATCACTTCAAAAATAAAAGATATGATATACTTTTAAATTCAAATCTTACCCAGATTTTTTGAAGTTTGTAGTACTATTATTTTCTTGATCGTACGGTGTTGTATTCATTTCGTATCGAGATCTAAGTGTTTTTTCAAAATTCCTTTTTAAATCTCGAATAAATCTATTTAATTCGTGTTCATCGCTAAAATCTTGTTCGATAAATACACGTTGCTGGTCGCCAGTAGGACCAACGCGCACTTGAGCTAATTGAATCTAAATGAAGAAGAAAAACTGTCAATTCGGACGTGCAGAGCCTTGTTTGATGCTTTACCAATTACTAATTTTTATTTTCTCATAATGTGTCATCAGTTTCTGATCATACTCTAAAACAAAGTGTGACTTCTAGGAAGACACATAAGTCGGATCCCAAAAAGCCGCATTTTAGTGTCTCCTTTGAAGACATATGATGCGGCTTTACCTGGTAGTCACTTTATAGCGTCTTTGCTCTAGTCGCATTAAAGATACGTAAGTCGGATCCCATTTAGTTGTATTTTAGCGTCTTTTTTGAAGCCGCTTTGATGTGTCTGCTGGAAAAGACTCATTACAAATTTTTTTGTTCCGGTCAAGAATTGAACCGGATCCCTTAGCCCTGCAAAGGCCTGGTTTTATAGAAAACCAGTTTTCAGAAACTCTAAAATATAATCAAAACCTTTCTCAATGAGGCATGATTGTAGCCCGCAAATTTCTGATTAGAATGAGGCATCCTCCAGCTTTACACGACCCTTCTTTGCAAACTTATAGAATTTATAAGAAAAACCCTAAGTTAATTTTTTTCTTCTTATTTCTGTAGCTTTGAGTTGACAATGAACACTTAGGACTTTTATAAATTCTATAAGTTTGCAAAGAAAGGTCGTGTAAAGCTGGGGTATGTCTCATTGCAATCAGAAATTTACGGGCTACAATCATGCCTCATTAAGAAAGGTTTTGATTATATTTTAGAGTTTCCGGAAACTGGTTTTCTAGAAAACCAGGTCTTTGACGGGCTAAGGGCCACCCCCATGGTCATATTCGGAGTCAGTATGGTCGATAACCTATAACCCACTAGATTCCGAGCAAAAAGCGTTTTATCACCTCGAGAAGTTCCCTCGTAAGTGTTTTTCTCGTTCACGCGTCTCTCATGCGACTCCAATGTGACTTTCATATGGCTACCAGTAGACACATAGAAGACACCTATTATTTTAAAGACGCAATCTAGTCATATACAAGACACTTTTTCTCGGCAGACACATCGCTGAAGTCGCATGTTTTTTTAGGGTGCACTGTTCACTATTTTAACTACATTCTCTCGTTATCGACTCATCCAATATTTTTAAGGGATAAACTTGACGTAACACTCACCGTTATTCTATCATCTCCCGTTATTATTGGATCTGTCATGAAATATGCTGTTGGTATGTTAGGAATCCCGGGTGTTACTCTGGCATGACTATGATAACGACTTTGTCCATGTACTTTTGGATTTTCATTAAAAATATGTCGCCAACGTTGCTGTTGTGGTACGTTGCCAAAATCATTTGGATTGTCAAAAAACCTTGGTAGCGTGCTACCAAAGCCACCATTAAAAAACTGTGTTTGAAATCGATCAGACTCATTTTGCTGGTTATTATTTAAATTATAGAAGTATGGTGGAACAAAATTTGGTCCACCAGAACCGGAAAATAATGAATTTTGTTGAGGATAATATTGATTATAAAACATGTTAACCTTTACTTAGTCAATAGGTACCATGTACGACGAAAGTAGTTAAATGAAAAACATAACACGCTTCAGAAAATAATAGTATAATTTTGCACTGTTTATTATTCTTTCTCTCTTCTTGTCACTTTTTATAGACAATTTTTTCTTTTATTGTGTATGTATATGATGATAATACACCTAAATTAATCATCTATGGAAAAGATCTACTTGTCAGTATATTTCGTGATCGAAGAAGAAAAAAAAACAAAAAATGTTTGGGTCACTCAAGTAAGAATGAAAAATGTAAAATGGTTATATGATAATAAACGACAGGTAGTATTATTTAATTTCAGCAGTGTTTTGCTTATACTATCACCTTTGATCACTAGTATACATATATATCTATTATAATGTTTTTTTACGTATTGCCTTATTGTAGTATCGCATTTGCACTATTTGTTTTATGTCCACTGTCACCATGTTAGGTCCAAAACATTACGTTACGCACGATTGAACATATGCATATGTTTGTGTAACCCTTATTGTACAATCATTCAAATAGTAGAGATACAATTGTTATTCATCTCACTATACTTGCCTGCGTTTGATAGATCCTATATTCAGAGAAAAAACGTGTAACAAAAATTATGCTATGTGCATAATCATGTTTTTCAAGCGTATGTTCCATTTTCTATATCGTCTTTTCAGAAATGAATAGAAAATAATAAAGTTATATTAGATTGACTGAAGAAAAAGACAACGTAATGCCAGAGAAATCGTCAGTGTAAATCTTTCATGAGAAATAAAATATTAAAAAAAAAAAATGCACTGTGAAATGTGTTTGTTATCCTTTATTAATAACTCCAATGTTTGTTTATGAAATATATATCAGAAATGGATATCGTTGAAAGGTAATAATAATTGAAAGATCGTTAAAGTAAGATATATTTGTTACCTAATAAAACGCTTAGTTTATTTGACCGTGAGATATTATTCTTGTTTCAAGATCCTCTTTTCTTTTTTTTGACCTATTTCATGAGAGAAGATAGCTTGGAATGTTTTTCAATCCATACCTTTTAAAATTAATAATAATTAAAATTAATAATAATGTTAAACTTTTTTTCTGGAGTGTGTCTAATATTAACTACTCATATATTTGCTAATTGTTTTCCTATTACATTAAACAAGGTTCTAATGTTAATATTTGCAAGTTTCTATTTTTTTAATGAAGGTTTATTATCTCGTTTTGACACCTTTTTATTGTCTCTTTTTTTCCTTTTCTTTTTCTTTTTTTATTAAATCATAAGCGAACATAAACGATGATGAATATTACAATACAATAAAATAACCTTTCAAAAATAACTAAAATATAGATTTATCTTTAATAATAAATAGTCAATGAACCATTAAATTAAGAAACTTTTTTCATATTGTATTTACTTTGCATGTCCTTAAAGAAATAAAAAAAGAAAATGAGAATCAGAAAAGTGTCCAATGTTTATCCGTCTATAGTTAATATAATAGTCTAATGTACTTCGAGAACACTAATATAGGGTAGCGCGATCTTCTCTCAATAAAATCCTTGATAAAGCAGCCTACTATTTTTTTTTTAACGTTTCGAATTTACCTTTACAAGATTATTGAGTGTATTTTGAACATCTTGCGATACATTTAATTCAATAGGAACAATATTTTCAGCATCTTGCATGCTAACGGGAATTGAACAAACAACTGAATCAGGTACATCAAATAATGAACCTGATAAAAAATAACAATTGGATTTAGTATTTTTGGTAACATTTGAGAAAAGTTTACCTGAACATTCCATAACACACGAATATGTATTATGGTTATTAGTGCCATGAATCCAATCTCGTATAAATGAAACAATCGATGAACTATAAGTTTGTACTAGTGGACGATGTTCTTGAACATGACTGTAGAGTTCGAATGCTAGTTTTAAAAAAAAAATGAAGATTAAGATGCAAAATAAGATGAGATGACTATTATCACGGATAATAATAATGGAAAAAAAAAGTCGAGTACACACGTCAGAAGTCTCTCACTTTAAATAGAAATGTTTTTATTGCCCTATCATTTGGACACTTTTCTACACGTATCATTTAGCCTCTTCTAATAGAAATTGATAATACAGATTTTGATGTATTTTACGATGTGATTTAACTTATTTTTGTATTATATTGTAATTAAAATTCAGATTTAGTAATGACAAAAGATTTTTCACATCCTGGATCTGAAAACCCATGATCACTTTGAACTTTCAAATTTTGTATGATTATATTTAATGTATCTCATCCAATTTTGATAAACACTTTCTTGCAGCAAAATATGAGTATGACTTTCTTCATTTATGGCATAAACGACTCTATTGGTTTCTTGTAGAAAATTGTCATGCTCAAATGATAGATTTACTATAGAAGAACTTTTGAGCTTTCTGAATATATTCTCAAACACTTTTAGATCGCGATGCGTCTATGAGATAATTAATTGTTTTTACATTCAGTACCTATGAGTACCTTTTGAAATGTCAAAAATCTTATAAATGATCTAGGTGGCTTAGGAAACAATTTAAACATCCTTAGGTTTTTTTTACAACTAATAGACGCGCATGATTCACTTCTAGTTTCGTTTAAATATTACCCACGGTTCCTTTTTTTCATATCAAGAAAAATTCAACATATAGGTATGTATGTGAGTAATTAAATATTTCTACAGTTCTATAAAAATATAGATCATATCAAACGCTTAGGTGTTTATTTATCATAGCTAAAAAAATTCAAAAATTAGCTGTTCAAATTTAAATGACTATTCGCCTTGGCGTATGGATATGATAAAAAAACTCAACGTTTCTGATTTTTTATTAAGGTGAAAATTTTTTTAATTTGTAATGTTAGGTCGTAATGCTTGATCTTGTTTTAACGTCTCAAAACTACTTCACCCTCGTAAACTTTCTCGCTTCCAAAATCGTTGTATATGGGAAATACTAAGATACAAATTATTAATAAAATTTTTCGAAGTCCTGTGAATATCACAGGCAATTTGAGCTTGTCGATATTACCGAGTGCACCCAAAACGAACTTAAAATATTCTTAAAATCGAATAAGAGATCAAAAATACTTAATTTCCACCATTTTCTCTATGGTAGAAATACTCAGCAGAATGTATCGCTGCCTCAATGGAAAAAAATATATCACGAGTGGCTGACGGTGTCACAGATGATTATGTCCCACGTTATGTCGCAATTTGCGAAACATGCGACACATTATTTTTTTTACAGTGTATTGTAGCTTTTTATCATTTCTGGTCGTTTAATGCTCTGACTAGTAAATAAACTACACTAACCTAATAGTTAACTTTTAAACTTAAACTTATAGCAGAAAAAGAGTCACAGCAAGTTCAAAACTATCATGATTCTTGAGGTCCATAAAATGAGATACTTTCAATCATTACTGTATGTCTGACTATTTTTTCATTGCTGTTACGAGCAAGCACTGTTAAGCGCTTAAATTGTATTAGTTTATAGTTCTATACTTGATCTAGTCACGTAACGGTCTATCTTTTTTCGTCCGTTACGGCACTTTATAAATCGAGATTTCGTTCGATTACTCTGGAACTTTTTTCTAGTGTGACTTACAATACTACCTCCTAACAGTGAAAAGTGCAGAGCGATCGGACGAGATCTCGATCTGAGGTACCATAACAGACGGAAACCTTCGTTTGACCAGGCCGAACTGCTTTTTTACATCAACTTTGCATAGTATTGAATTCATTTACATTAGACGCTTTGTGATTATGGCCTGTATCGACTTCTCGATCGTATTGAATATGTAATTTATGTTGTTCTAATATAATCATTCACGCCGTGTGTTATAAAATTTCGAAAGTAATAATGGTGGCCAATCCGCCGAACGAGTTTTTGAAACTAATCTATGTCGATTTTTGCTATCAATTGACGACGACTATCTGTCCGAAAATGGGAAACAGAATGTCACCGCGTACATCGTCGAAGACTTGAACTTTTGTGAATGGTATCAGTAACATATAAGATTCCTATGGAATTCTTGTCAATTATAAGTAGAAAAAGTGCCCTTTCTTCGAGTATAATTCTGTACGTGCTACAGTTGAAAAACTACTCTGTGAATGAATGAATTTTCCTGTTGCATTTCAATTTTTGCACATACTTACGAGGGAACATATCCAACTGTCAAATCGCTTTCGAGTCGAAACCCAGTGGACTATAGGTAGTCGATCATGCTGATTCCGAATATGATGGCCGTTTTTCCCCCATAGGTCTTTCCTAACCGGTTTCTGAAAAACTAGTTTTCCAGAAACCTCAAAAACCCCGAGGATTTTTCTAAATAAGTCACAACTGTAGCCCGCGAAATTCTGATTAAACTGAGACATCTCCCAGCTCTACATGACCTTTCTTTGCAAAGTTATAGAATTCACAAGAAAAGCCCTAAATGTTTATTATCACCTCAGAGCTACAGAAAGAAGAAGGAAAAATGAATTTAGGACTTTTCTTGTGAATTCTATAACTTTGCAAAGAAAGGTCATGTAGAGCTGGGAGATGTCTCAGTTTAATCAGAATTTCGCGGGCTACAGTTGTGACTTATTTAGAAAA